TGGCTCAGTATGTACCTGCTACACCTGCTCGCTGATTATCAGCTGTGTCTGAGTCGGACCTCTGACTCTCTTTTAGTTGAGGCACGCATATCAGCTCAGAGGTTGTTTTATGCGTCAGGCAGGAAGAGACTGACAGAGCCACGGAAGAAATAAAAGTAATACGTTGGTTGAAGCAACAACAAAACAGCTAAATGATCTTTATTCACTTGCATGAATGTGACCACTTGAAATTTTAACTGGCACACTCAAAGAAAGGTTGCATATGCGACTATTTTGGTTGCAGTCTCAAGCCCTGCTCAATCAAGTGAATGTGGTCGCAGTGGCCTTGTTGCTGCACCTGCACTTGCCACCACTATTCCTCATTTTGTTTTCTTGTTCAAAATTTCCAGTGCCTGCTGTGTCTGCTGTACCTTTTGATACCATAGAAAAACTGCTACTGTCACATTTTTAAATATTTGGCGTTGACTTGGTATTAAACTGTTGGTTCCCTATTCTTTATTGATGCTTGAAAAGGTTGTCCAAAATGTCCCTCAACATGAACAGGATGTCCTTGTTCAAGATCACTGTCTCCAGTCAGTTGTATAGTTAATGAAACTCTGTGAAAAGCAATCTCCCTTCCCTGTTCTGTGAAGCAGCTGATGAGCTGTTCCCATATTCAGCCATCAAGTAGTTTGTGATGAAAAGCTGGTCTTGTGTTTTCTGAAGGTTGTGTAGCTAAAAGAGGGCTCCCTTTGTGTTCCTCAGTCAGAATATATTGAGTCTTAGTGGCAAATATCTAGTACAGTACCGGGGAGCAAGCCTGTTTCATCACTACAAAATTACTGCTGCTAGCAGATATGCATGATCAACTGATAGACAATTGGATTTAATTAGCTCCTGTGGTTGGCTGACATTCATAGAGGCTTTACTGTTTGCCTCAGTAGCTGGGAAATAGCTTTGAAATTCATGGGGTTTGTGGTGGATTGAAGGTCAGGGTGACCGTGGTGTTTCCACTTTATCATGTCAGTGAACAGTGAAGCACCCTCCCCTCTTGCTATGACACAGTCCAGATCGAAAGGGGGAATGGAAATTCCACTTTAAAAATTGACTGCTGCTCGTGAATGTTTTTCACAGTAATCAATATGTCATTGAGTGTACTGTTAGAGAAGGTACAGAGGCTGAGCAACGGCTGTACACTTCAGGTAACTGATAAGTGATGGTGAGCTCAACTTTTAGCGAACTGGTTGTATTTGA